AAAAAAAAACAACAGAGTGGCACCTGTGGCTCAAGGAGTAGGGCGCCTACCCCATATGCTGGAGGTGGTGGGTTCAAACCCAGCCCCAGCCAAAAAAAAGAAAAAAAAGAAAAATTTTAAATCATGATCAGTACTTATGTATGTTTTTTTTTTGGTTTTGTTTTTTGTTTTGCTTTTTGAAACAGAGTCTCACTTTTGTCACCCTCATTAGAGTGCTGTGGCATCATAGCAACCTACAACTCTTGGGCTCAAGTGATTCTTTTATTTTTTTTTGAGTCTTACTTTATCACCCTCGGTAGAGTGCCATAGTGTCACAGCTCACAGCAACCTCCAGCTCTTGGGCTTACGCAATTCTCTTGCCTCAGCCTCCCAAGTAGCTGGGACTACAGGTGCCCAGCTATTTTTTGTTGCCATTTGTCCAGGGTCGGGTTCGAATCCACCACCCTCAGTATATGGGGCCAGCATCCTACTCACTGAGCCACCGGCACTGCCCCTTCTGTATGTTTTCTTAAGATGTTTAAGACAAGGCTGGGCTTGGTGGCTCATGCCTATAATCCTAGCACTCTGAGAGGCCAAGGCAGGTGGATTGCCTGAGTTTACAGTTCAAGACCAGCTTGAGCCAGAACGAGACCTCATCTCTAAAAATAGCTGGGCATTGTGGTGGGCACCTGTAGTCCCACCTAGTTGGGAGGCTGAGACAAGAGAATCTCTTAAGCCGATGAGTTTGAGGTTGCTGTGAGTTGTGATGTCACAGCACTCTACTGAGGAGTGAGACTCTGTCTCAAAAAAAAAAAAAAAAGGATGAAAAGTTTAAGGTGGGTTTGCACTTACTTTAGGTGGGTATTTGCTTAATCCCTCTTCTATTGGGTTGTATCAGGGCCTGCCTTTGCTTACTACCCTTGTGTTCCTGGCAATTAGTACTGGGAGTTCTTGCCTCCAAATAGATGCCACTCAGTAAAAATTATTGATTGAATGAATATTGACTTTTTTGCAGATTAATACGAAGATACAAACCAGGGGTCCTCAAACTTTTTTAAACAGGGGACCAGTTCACTGTCCCTCAGACTGTTGGAGGGCCAGACTGCAGCCCCGGGATGAGTCAGCTGCTAAGCAGGACAGGCAGTGGGGGCAAAAAACACCCAGCTGACCAGATAAATGTCCTAGGCGGGCTGCATGTGGCCCGCGGGCCATAGTTTGAGGACGCCTAAGTTAGGTAAAGTCACTGTTGTAGTTATCCCCTTTACCCAAGAGATGTGCCATATACACTTATATTGTACCCATTAGGTGAGAGCACACCAATCTTTCTCCTCTCCTCTCTTCTCTCCCCCACCCCCCCAACTTGAATTAAATTGAGTTTTTCTCTTGCGTGAGCAAGAATATTGACCCTTCAGTGTATTTATTTTGCAAAGACAGCGTCACATTCATTGCTAACAAAATGGCACAGGCAGTTTGGAACAGCTGATGGAGTCTTATGAAACTAAACCTAGTCTTGCCACAGGATCCAACAATCCTAGTTTTTTTTTCCCTAATAACTTGAAAACTCATGTCCGCACATAAATGTTTGTATCAGCTTTATTTCTAAGTGCCAAAAAATCGAAGCAACCAAGATGTCCTTTTTAAGGTGAATGGATAAACAAATTATGGCACATCCATACTATGAAATACTATCCAGCGATAAGAAAAGAGAGCCAGACATGGTGGCTCACACCTGTAATCCCAGCTCTGTGGGAAGCTGAGGCAGGAGAAACACTTGAGGTCAAGTTTGAAACCAACTTGAGCAACATAGCAATATATCTATATCTATCTATCTATCTATCTGTATGTAGCTGGGTGAGGAGCGAGGGGACTTGCCCCTGTAATCCCAAATACTCTGGAGGCTGAGGTGTGAAGATCCCTTGAGCCGAGCCTTGAATTCAAGGCTGCTGTGAAATATGGTTGTGCCACTTCCTTCCAGCCTGGGCAACAGAGGAACCCCCTTGTCTCAATTTTTTTTTTTTTTGGCAGGTTTGAACCTGCCACCTCCGGTATATGGG